AAACAAGGGGTGGCATCTTACATTTTCTTTTTCGTCAGATGATTTTATTTTTTCCAAACAATGACTGATTTAGTATGTATTATCAATAGTAATGGTAATCGTACAAAAGTCCATGCCTTACCCCATCATTTAGTATTTTTAATTGATAAATTCAACGTTATAGTTATAATCTGATTTAATTACGGCTTTTACACCATACAATCAATCCATACAACCAACAATCGCATCCGACCAACTGATCAGACAAATGGTCGGATGGACGGCTTATTGCAAGGATAGGATCAGTTCTATTCTCATACGACCAACTCATGCAACAGCAAATCAAAGTGCGTTGTAAGGCGTATGACGTCATATCTGACTTTGCAACCAGAATTCCTGTTTAAAGATGTCTTCTTCTGTCGCTTCATTTTTGGTTGTGTGTGTGATATGTCAATTAGGGACCAGTATATGTCTTTAAGTTTGTATTGTATGTATATTTGATGGATGGTTTGAGGCTATTGTAAGTTTCTTTTATATCTATATATGATTGGGGGATTATTTCTGAGTGGGTATAACTGTTGGAAGCATATCTTGGCAGAGTATCCCTTGTAGTTAATCCTAGCCAGTATATGTATAGGCCAACCCAGGGACTTTTGTTGTCCTTGATAGCATTTATTATGAGTTGTTGTTGCATTGCCTGGATTTTTAGTCGAATGTTTGGCACTTTAAGGCCACCATTTTTATGCTCAAGGTTCAAGGTGTTTCGATTAATTGTTTCACTTTTATTTTCCCAGATGAAATTGTAGATTATTTTATTTATGTTTTTAATAATTGAGTTTGAGGGAGGAACTATCCTAGCAACAAACCATAGTTTGCTGAGTATATAGGTGTTTAAGATGCATACTTTTTCTTTACATGAAAGAGAGTGATTTTCCCATGTCTGGATGGTTGAATTGATTATTTGAACAAGGGGTAGCCAGTTCTTTTCCATTTTATTTGAGCCAAACCAAATGCCTAGTAATTTTATAGCGTCTGTTTTAATATTAATATTTATATTTACAGGATAGGAGTAGTGTGATGGTTTTCCAACAGAAAGGATTTCAGTTTTATCATGGTTTAGTTTGGAGCCAGATATAGAGCCAAATGTTTTGAATTGTTCGAGGAGAGTGCTGTATGAAGAAAGTCTAGATATTATAGCAGAACAGTCATCTGCATGCTGAAATAACTTAATCTCTGAAGGGTGGTTAGGGATCCTGATGCCTTTTATGAGGATGTTTTTGTTTATGTATGAAGCAAGGGGGTTGATACACAATGAGTATAGAATCATGGATAGTGGACATCCTTGACGAATCGATCGGTTAATTTTAATATTTTGGGAAAAGGATCCATTTACTTGGACTTTACTAATCAAGTTTTTAAACAATATTGTAACCCAGTTAAGGATGTAATTTGGGAAATTAATATGTTTAAGTAGATTTATGATATAGTTGTGTTCAATGCGATCGAAGGCTTTTTCTTGGTCAAATGATAATATATAGGCACTGGACTCATTTGTGTTTATATAATTTAGTATTGTATCTATTGAATATAGGTTATCAAAAATGCTTTTATTTGGTCCAGCTCATGTTTGTGTATTAGAGATTAATTTGTTAATAACAGAATTTATTCTTGTGCTTAGAATTTTTGTTATGATTTTATAGTCCACACATAACAGGCTTATCGGTCTATAGTTCTTGAGTAATCGATGGTCGCCTTTATTCTTGTAGTTAATTGTTATGATACCAGTTCTCATTGTGTTAGATAATTCCCCCTGTAGATAGATGTTGTTTAATACTTCTGTTAAATCGTTTCCTATAATGTCAAAGAATTTTATGTAGAAATCTCCTGGAATACCATCTATACCCGGGCTACGGTTTGTTCTAAATTTTTGTAACGCCTTAAGGACTTCATCTCTAGATATAAAATGTGATATTGAATCTCTTTCCGTGTTTGTTAGTGTGTTTGTGTCACTGTTTTCGATATAGGACTTCATTAAGTTATCATTAATATTTTGAGAGGTATATAGTTGTTGGTAGAATTGGTGAATTGTGTCTAATATATCTTGTTTATTGTCACAGATTGTATTATTTTGATTGATCAGTTGTTTAATTTGTTTTTTTGCACCCTTTTTAACTTCTGCTAATTTATATATTTTAGAATTAGTAGATACATCAATTTGGGGTATTTCTAATTTTGAACGTATAACGTAGCCTTCTTTGGTATTATATTCTATAAGCTCAATTTTTGATTTAATCTCGTTTATAGAGTTATTCTTACTAGGCATTTCATTTTCTAGGGATTCCAGTTGTTGATAAAGGTTACTGAGGATATGTTTGTTCTCAACTGCTAAGGCTTGACAGTAATTTTGTGTAATATTTCTAATAGCTGCTTTACCTTTTTCCCACCATTGTATGTTGTCAATGATTTGGTATTTTTTGTTTTGCCAGCTTGACCAGAATGTTTTAATTTGATTTTGGTAGTTTTTATCATCTAGAATAGAATTGTTAAGTTTCCAATATCCTTTACCCCATTTAAGATTGTTAAGGTTGATATTTAGTTCCACTGCTTTATTGTCAGTGAAATGAAGTGGTATATGTTTAATTGATTTGATGTAAGTTGCATATTTATTACTTATGTAAATGCGGTCTAATCTGCTAGCATGTCCTTGTGAATTCTGATAGGTAAAAAGGGGAGTGTCAGGGGAGATAATTCTGTAACCATCACTTATATTAAGTAGATTTTGTATATCAAGTAGATATCTTATAGCATCTTTTGGATGGTTATTCATGTTGCCATGTTTGTTATCTTTACTATTTTCAATAAGGTTAAAATCACCAGTAATAATATAAGAATGTTGTGGATTATGAATAGTTTTGACATATTCAAGAAGTCTCTTGTAGTAATAAGTTTTCAATTCTCTCTTGCAGGGACCATATATATTGAATATTTGAATAGTTTCATTATTTGCATTTACCTCCAGATGTTGGAGCCTACCTGCTAATTCATCAGGTGTATTGTAGAGTTTATGTATAATGTTTGGGCTTAATAATAGGGCAATGCCAATCTTTGTTTAATTATATGCAGTGTATAAGTTATAGCCAGTTTCGTTTTCAACATTTTTTATTTGATGGACATTGGATTTTAGAATTTCTTGTATACAAACAATATCTAGTTTGTTAAATATATTGCTAATTTGTGTAATCTTTTGAAGATTTCCTTGTAGAGCGTTTATGGAGTAAATTAACATAATAATTAGGTAAATAATAGGGATAGAAGGCTTCATTGTTAACTAATATGGTTTCAAGAACTTATAACGTCTTAATTTGTTTGATCTCTAAACTTCTGTTTCGGTAAGCGGGGATTCCGCTCGAGCCCTTTTATCATCTATTTCTGTTTCGGATAAACTATCAAGGCTTCTTTCCCTTTTACTTGCTGTGTCACACTTAGTGACTGTAGAGTTATTTAACAATGAGACATCAGCGTCATAGTTAAGATTTGACTGCGATGTTTCAGGGATATCATGGGATGAGTTGTCAATGATACTGTTATCCTCTAAATAACTTTGACCCACTGAGGATCCTGTGTTAATGGGGGTGGAAGAAACATGACCACTAGATGTATCAATAATAGACTTATTAACATCATTGATAAAATGGCTATCAGGGCTGAGGATAACATTTGTTGTATCGGTAGTGATAGGAATGTCATTGTTGACTACTGTTGTTTTTATGGAGTCTAGAGTAGCTAAATCCTGGTTTAGACTTCCTGGGTTTGCGGATTTGACTTGACCAGAATTATAGACATTTGTTTTTGTCGTATTATTTTTTGAGGGGATAATATTATTGACACCAGGGTTATTGTCTTCACTAGGGTCATAACCTAAGACATGGTTATTGATATTTAGGTGCTCATGATTAGGTTCATAAATATTATCAATATTATGGGTGGGTTCAGTGGCTATATCAGCAGATACTATAGCACTGTTTGGACTAGTTTGGGGTTGAAGGGCAGGAAATTCCGTTTGATCATCAGGATTTGGTGCATTGGGGTTGGTTGGCAGAGTATATCTTTTGTCTGGTTTTGTACATTCACGGCCAAGATGCCCATGCAGGCCGCAGTTGTAACAAATTTTGCCCCTAGTTTGGCCCTCATATTTAATGGATACATGTATCCCTTTTATATAAATGTGCGATGGAATAGGTTTAAACATTTTTTTACATAAACAATTCTAACACCGCTTTCGACCGTTGGAAATGGTTTGAAGCAGGATCTGTCACATTTAACCAATTCACAATAGTTCGTCAATTTGTTAACCAGATATTTATTGTCCATTTCGAATGGTAGGCCGAAGACCGCAACAGGAATTGAATCAACAGGGTAGTCCCATGTGATGTTTCCAGCCGACTCTACTGTATAATTGCAATTCTTCACTGAGAAGGTCTTGAGATTCTCAAGAAATAACTCCTTGGCAAGTATATCCTTAAGAGTTAGGCAAAACTTGCCCTTACCTACATTTTGGAGACATTTTATATTGCTGATGTCAAAATCCTTAGCTTGTAGGAAATATAATATGTCTACTGAGGCAATACCAGTGGGGTGTGTCCTCACTGTGCCCACTTTTGATTAATCCAATTAAGGTCTAATTAGGATTAGTGGATTAAGCGGATTAGGATTAGGTGTTATATAGGTAATTAGATGGAAAAAAAACCCAAATATTTTATGTAATTTTTTTTTTATTTTCGATGTTTTATATATATTTAATAAAAATATAACATACATGGATATATCATACATCACATTAGCACTTTATAATTTAATGAAAATATAACAATTTTCGATGTTTTATATATAAAATATTTAATAAAAATATAACATACATGGATATGTCATACACCACATTAGCACTTTATAATTTAATGAAAATATAACAATTTTCGATGTTTTATATATAAAATATGTAATAAAAATATAACATACATGGATATATCATACATCACATTAGCACTTTATAATTTAATGAAAATATAACAATTTTCGATGTTTTATATATAAAATATGTAATAAAAGTATAACATACATGGGTATATCATACATCACACAAAAACAAGATAAACAATGAAAATTTACAATGTAGTTAAACGGGCTACGCCATCGGCATACTCGAATACAGTCTTTATACCGTTCTGAAGATCTGTTTTCAGAGTTTGGAGTCGGGTTTCTAGTTGCCTGTACTTTCTTCTCTTAGGCCGTAATTTTCCGTTGGCACCTAACTGGAGAATGGTTACTTCGGAGTAAGCTTGTTCATTCTTAAAAAAAGCCACCAACTTGAAAATATTTGGGTGAGGGGTGGCAATAATGGATGTTATCTTGGAATGCCATCCTTCAACATGGTTCGTTGTGCGTGAACCTTCAGTGTGGAAATGGTTCCACATCATTCTGTCATGCTGCCCCTCCACCCAGAACTCAGTTACGTAATCTGCAAATTGCAACACTCTGGCATCTTGGAGTGGTGCATCATCAAGGGCATGCAGCCATACATCTTCAACCTGCTGTATTGGAATAAATGGTAATGCTGCTGCTTGCTTGACGATTTTATTGATTTCTGGCACCCGAGAAAAATCTGCTTGTAGTCCATATTTCTGCGCATTGCGCCAAATACACTGACCAAAGTGAAAAAAACAACCTTTTAGTTCTGACCTCGGCAACACAGTTCTCACAGCATTTTGCATACTAACTTCGAAATCTGTAAACACATGGCCTGGGTTAAGATTAACATTGACAAGTGCCAATGTTTTGTCTCTAACACATCTGAGGAACTCAACATATGTTGCCTCCTTCTTATCGGGTAATAGTGCATACACCAAAGGGAACATTTTATTGTGTACAAAAGCATGTATAGTGTAGATCTGGGTGAATAAGGTAGGACTCATGCTAAATGTTTCATCACAGTATATAGTGTCTGCATTGGCGAGATGGTAAAGATTTTCTTGTGTGGAAAACACTAGAAACCTGCTGTCGGCTGCTGCGTGGAGAAGGAAGTCGTCTCCGGATGTGGTCTTGGTGTAAGAATCTGGAAGCTGGATATCGTTGCGGGTCTGAGGAAGTGCTGGGAGGATCTTTGCTCGGGCTCTATACAGGGAAGCACAGCAACTATAGAATGTTGGAATCTCTCTGATCATCTCACCTGAGTCACGGTCAGATCGAAGGGCTGTAAACAAACAAAAAGAAAATATTTATTATACATATTATTATATCATTAATACTCGACCAGACACTCGATTGGTTTGTTACGGAAGAACATGTTCAGTATGCTTTAACGTTGAATCATTTAAATCAACGGCACACAACATTAGAGATAAATACATACCTGATACTTCTTCTTGATAGATGGCACAGACTGGTTTGGTTTCCTCTTGCACCTTGGTTTTCATGGCAACGAGAAATTTGTCGACTGCCACCTTGTGTGGGTTAGCAACATGGTTGTGGTTTCTGGAATATTTGGTAATAAAGCCTTGGTGGGTGTTCAGGGTTGCTGGACAACCTTTTATACAACATCTCCAGTATACTCGTTCTGCCTTCCTATTCTTCACTCGGAATTTGTATTCTTCATGGACTAAGTTTTCTCCACCTTGAGCATTGGGGATGTACTGGATGTTTACTTGAACGTTTGCCATGATGAAATATGACAGACTGACTTCTGTGTGTCCTTATAAAGACCGTGTAATGTGTAGGCTTACTGAACATAATTCATATTATATTCAAGTGTCATTTTTTGAATAAAATTCATCACTTTAACGATTACAGTGAGTTCATCTCACCAATTATAAGACTGAATATTTAGTCACTTTCAATATTTGTTTTTTTCCATCTAATTACCTATAACACCTAATCCTAATCCGCTTAATACACTAATCCTAATTAGACCTTAATTGGATTAATCAAAAGTGGGCACAGTGAGATGTAACCACCAGTGGAGGGGTTATCATCGTCGGGAATCAGTTCAACAGTATTGTCACGAATTATACGGTTTGTTACACTCATCTCCCCATTAGGGTTAATTGTCATCTTTGTCGATTTTATGTAACTCATTGTCAATAAAACACTTCAACAGCTTGTATGTGGTCTTAATTACAGTTGAAAGGTGGTGAATCACGGTGGCCATAGACCGGCCATGACAATATGGCTGACACCAACACTGAGAATTCAAATGTCTTGTCACAGTAGAACTCGAATAGTTTATACAATTATCAACTCTGAGATATTAATCCATTACAGGGTATCTGGGTCGTATCTATACAAAAGATAAGATGGCCATTGTCGGACACTAAATAAATATAATCCTTATAAGACATATAGAAATAGATTTCACTAAAAATAAAACACACTTATATGGATATACTACTTCTGAATTTATTAACATGCTACGTTTCGATACACATACAGATATCGTTTTCAAGCAAATAATGAAAATCAACAATAAATGTGGTACAATATATAGGTAACAAGTGGAAACCATTTAACAGAATAATCAATGCTATCAACAACGCATTATCAAGATCAAAGAAGTTATATAAATAACATGATGAAAGAATAACACTAATAATACAAAAGGAAGAGATTAGAGGATAATTGACTACTAATAATACAAAAGGAAGAGATTAGAGGATAATTGACTACATGAAACCGTAACATCAAGACGCTAATTAACTATATGAAACCATAACTATAAGATGAGATGAAAGTCAGAGATAGAAACAATCATCACAAGTGAAACCTTAACTACAAGATGAAATAAAGGGGGGGGGGGGTCATACACTTATGACCACAGACACTTCTCATCACTAACACACACTAGTTAAGAATTAAATAAATCAACCCAAAGATTTGGGAGGAAATGTCCTGAGTCTCTGTTTAATTTTGGCTTATGTTTTTGAATTTCCAAAGCCTCGCGAAGAACTCTGCTTTTCCATGTTGATTGGTTTCTAGCTAGTATTTCTGTACTTTCCCATTTGATTTGGTGCTCTGGGTTTTGGTGAATATGTTCTGCTAGCGCTGATTTGTTTTGTTCTTGTTTTTTAACTGCTGTCTGATGCTCTTTAGTTCTGATTGAAATTGGACGGGATGTTTCGCCCACATAGGCCACATTACACTCACAATTTATTTTGTATATGACTCCCTTTGGGTCCTCTTTTGGTTTTAGTATTCTACCATCAGCTTTTAACATAGTTTTAAGTGTGGTTCCGCTACTGAACACTACCTCTGCACCGATTTGCTCTGTTAAAATTCTTTTTATTTGGTGGCTAGCTGGTCCTATAAATGGGATGGAGATAAAAAGCGGGCTAGTTCTTCTGATGGCAGTGGGTGGTTTGCAGGTATGAGTCAGTGTTTTCTTCATGGTGGCATTAACTGTATTAGCAGGGTAGTTATTGAATTCTGTAAGGACATGGTTGATATGCTGTAATTCATTATCGAGGAGGTCTTCATCACATATTAATTTTGCGCGTCTCGTTAAGGTACTAATAATTCCTGTTTTTACTTTGGTTGGGTGATTTGAACTATTATGTATGTATTGGTCAGTGTGGGTTGGCTTGCGGTAAACAGTGGTTTTTAGGTAATCTGCGGAGTTGTTTACTAATACATCAAGGAATGGTAATTGGTTGTCTTTTTCTAATTCTACTGTAAATTTCATTCGAGGGTGGATACTGTTGAGGTGTTCAAGAAGGTGTTGTGGATTCTGACCTAGTTCCAAAATGGCAAATACATCATCAACTTTTCTAATCCATGTTTTAGGTAGGATGGGTGAAGTCTTTAAGGCAGCTTCTTCGAAATGGGTCATATATACTTCTGTTATGAGAGGGCTTATGGGAGATCCCATGGGCAGTCCATGAACCTGTTCATAAATTTCTGATTGCCATGAGAAATATGAGGAATTGATACATTGCTCTGTAAGTTGAATGATACTGTCTATTTTGAGGTTTGTGGATAGTTCTTGGTAAATAGATTCTATTTTCTGCCTTAGCACTTGTATTGCTTCATCCCGTGGTATATTCGTAAACAAATCAACAACATCATAACTAACTAACTGACCATTCACCTAAAGAAAACAGTTATCAACCTCTCATCCCACACCCTTACAGATGATCAGATACACCTCCTATCGAAAGGACTTAAATTTATACCATCCAGTAGCAAACCACCAACAGAAACGTTCATCGTGAATATAGAAAAAGGTCTTCAGCAGCTAGCCCCGAATGGTAAAATAAATTACATCAGACACCAAATCAAAAAGATTCTAGAGAAACCAGCTATAACCAAACCTAACCTAACCAAAGAGGAAACCCGGGCAATCAAAGAATTAAAGGAAAATAAAGACATATCGATAGTAGCAGCTGACAAAGGTAAAGCCACAGTACTAATAGACACCAGTAACCTGAATGAATTAGTTAACAACACCTTGTCAGACAGCTCAACCTACAAACAACTTAAAAAGGACCCTACGGCCAAACTAGACAGACAACTTAAATCTACATTAAAAACCCTTCGCGACAACAATGAAATAGATAAACAACTTTATGAGAAATTAAATATATCCCATCCAACGCCACCTTATGCTAGAGTACAAGTTAAAATCCACAAAGACCCTATCAAAATTAGACTGTTAACATGTTCTCGTGGATCAGTGTACTATAATACAGCACAGTATATTTCTAAACTGTTATCACCAATTGCTACTAGTGCTAGTTCCTACATCAAAGATTCATCAGAATTCTGTCATAGACTTAAACAAAATAATGTGAATGGTCAGTTAGTTAGTTATGATGTTGTTGATTTGTTTACGAATATACCACGGGATGAAGCAATACAAGTGCTAAGGCAGAAAATAGAATCTATTTACCAAGAACTATCCACAAACCTCAAAATAGACAGTATCATTCAACTTACAGAGCAATGTATCAATTCCTCATATTTCTCATGGCAATCAGAAATTTATGAACAGGTTCATGGACTGCCCATGGGATCTCCCATAAGCCCTCTCATAACAGAAGTATATATGACCCATTTCGAAGAAGCTGCCTTAAAGACTTCACCCATCCTACCTAAAACATGGATTAGAAAAGTTGATGATGTATTTGCCATTTTGGAACTAGGTCAGAATCCACAACACCTTCTTGAACACCTCAACAGTATCCACCCTCGAATGAAATTTACAGTAGAATTAGAAAAAGACAACCAATTACCATTCCTTGATGTATTAGTAAACAACTCCGCAGATTACCTAAAAACCACTGTTTACCGCAAGCCAACCCACACTGACCAATACATACATAATAGTTCAAATCACCCAACCAAAGTAAAAACAGGAATTATTAGTACCTTAACGAGACGCGCAAAATTAATATGTGATGAAGACCTCCTCGATAATGAATTACAGCATATCAACCATGTCCTTACAGAATTCAATAACTACCCTGCTAATACAGTTAATGCCACCATGAAGAAAACACTGACTCATACCTGCAAACCACCCACTGCCATCAGAAGAACTAGCCCGCTTTTTATCTCCATCCCATTTATAGGACCAGCTAGCCACCAAATAAAAAGAATTTTAACAGAGCAAATCGGTGCAGAGGTAGTGTTCAGTAGCGGAACCACACTTAAAACTATGTTAAAAGCTGATGGTAGAATACTAAAACCAAAAGAGGACCCAAAGGGAGTCATATACAAAATAAATTGTGAGTGTAATGTGGCCTATGTGGGCGAAACATCCCGTCCAATTTCAATCAGAACTAAAGAGCATCAGACAGCAGTTAAAAAACAAGAACAAAACAAATCAGCGCTAGCAGAACATATTCACCAAAACCCAGAGCACCAAATCAAATGGGAAAGTACAGAAATACTAGCTAGAAACCAATCAACATGGAAAAGCAGAGTTCTTCGCGAGGCTTTGGAAATTCAAAAACATAAGCCAAAATTAAACAGAGACTCAGGACATTTCCTCCCAAATCTTTGGGTTGATTTATTTAATTCTTAACTAGTGTGTGTTAGTGATGAGAAGTGTCTGTGGTCATAAGTGTATGACCCCCCCCCCCTTTATTTCATCTTGTAGTTAAGGTTTCACTTGTGATGATTGTTTCTATCTCTGACTTTCATCTCATCTTATAGTTATGGTTTCATATAGTTAATTAGCGTCTTGATGTTACGGTTTCATGTAGTCAATTATCCTCTAATCTCTTCCTTTTGTATTATTAGTAGTCAATTATCCTCTAATCTCTTCCTTTTGTATTATTAGTGTTATTCTTTCATCATGTTATTTATATAACTTCTTTGATCTTGATAATGCGTTGTTGATAGCATTGATTATTCTGTTAAATGGTTTCCACTTGTTACCTATATATTGTACCACATTTATTGTTGATTTTCATTATTTGCTTGAAAACGATATCTGTATGTGTATCGAAACGTAGCATGTTAATAAATTCAGAAGTAGTATATCCATATAAGTGTGTTTTATTTTTACTAAATAAATAGCTCTTTATAAACGCCAGTAGAGGGAGAGCTATCAAGACACGTCTTGTCAGCTCGGCTACCACACGCTCGGCTTCTCTAGTCATTATCAAGCTATGATAAAAAATGAAAATATGACAGGACAATATATACATGTACACAACAATGCTCAGTTAATGCTGACTAACCCGGAATCTAACTTAATTACGTGTACCTAATGGTAATTTGATTTAATTGAACGCTAATAAGTAATAATACCAATTAACCTAAAAATGGACTAATTGATTAATGGATAAGTTGTTGTGGAGTATACACAATGATTAGTGGGTTTTAATAATACAAACGTTGAAAGAAAATGAAAATTGATGAAATGTTAACAACGACCCCTTTCACTGAAATAAACACAAATGATAAAAGAATATAGATTGTTGTGGAG